ATTAGGAATGAACCATTTTGTTTTTGGCTTTACCGTTTACGTCCAAGGCTCTCAGAACCTCTCCGTAGGTCATGTGGCTTGTAATTTCCAGCTTGGAGATTTTTCCGTCTCCATTAGCATCCAGCGGGTCGTTAGCCACGTTGTTGTGAATGACGTTGTAGATGTAGTTCAGCTGGTAAGCCTCGGTAGTGGTCAGAATCCGTTACCTGCAGACAGAAAAGATACCCTGTGTAACAACTGCGTACTTTTCTCGACACTGTAAGGATTTTGGACAATGAAATAGACTATTTCTTGAGAGGGGTGAAGGAAGCCATATACATCAGGGCCCATCACCCTTCATTGAGCCGCGACGGGGGCCGACATCGTCTACCAGATACCTTTGACCCATTGTTGACGTCACACTTCAAAGAAGCCACGTGGCAAGCTTCACTGGGTCAGTCTACTGGGGAAGACTAGAGTGACTGGTCGAAAGCTCTAGATGACAGAATTTTTTGTGTTGGACCAAAAGTTTCAACTTGACACGTACGTTGTATCATAATGATAGATCGGGTATGTGCTGCACAGTGGAGTCTGAAGACTAGCAACACTCTGGTGACTGCTGAGATCACATTTCTGGGGCCTTACTGGGCTTTTTGCGTGAGGAAATAAATCAAATATATAAAAATAAAAATTTCATATCGTAAACATACGCAAGTAGTGCTTGTAATTATTTTCTAAACTTTTTCTGTGTTTTATTGTCTTTTCTGTCATAATTTTTGATCCCGAAAGATGCCCGGCCGGGTCCCGGTTTGAAAATGTTACCTCAGCACAAATCCGTTAGGATTGTTTAACATTGGTTGTCTTCACATATTTGTCGACCATTTTCCCCAAATTTTCCCATGACCAAACAACATGGTAAACTTCTTATCGTCCACCGACTTCACATCACTAGAAACCAGTACGTATTTTACAGAGGACAAAAATATCAGATAGAATACGTACCGTCGTAGTCGAACTGGTCGTAGAAGTCGCTCATGGTCATGAAATTCTCTATTTCCGTGAAGGTGAGATGGTCGTCCCCGTTGGTGTTGAGTTGGTGAAACATGTCGGCCGTTCCCCACAGCTCTATGATCTGAGCCATGTAGATGAACCCGTCACCTACATACAGACAATAATAATTCTGTTTCAAGAACAGATACATGAATTATTGAAAGCACGGCTACAGAACAAAGAACTGCCAAGAGGCCCATAACCGAACTTGTCCATACCTTTCTACTTACTTATCAAATGTCTGGAAGATCCAGCTCAATAAAAATATAATTTTGAACAGCATATATAACACAAGAAAATGTAGGTACTTCTGCTGCTGCATTTTTTGTGCCATGCTGTTCACAAAATTGTTCACAAAATTTTTTTGGGACGAAAAATGCGAAACTATGCAACTTTAAAAGTTAGCAACAAGTCAATAATTTATTACTTTAGTAAAGGCTTAAGCTACTCTACCAACATATGAACGAGTCTAAAACAAACCCGTATTACAAACATATTGCCAAAGATATACACTAACAGAAGAACTCTCTGTAAGCTGCAGTGCAGTGCTTACCATCTCTGTCCAGGGCGACAAGAGCCTCATGCAGAGTCATGACGTTGAGAACTTCATCCTTGGAGATCAGTCCGTCCCCATTGACATCTAGGGGGTATATCTGCCTGTATGCAAAAACATAAAGCTTGTATCTGTATCTGTATAGCCGGTATAACCGCCCTTCGGCGTAACACACTGGCTTTTCATGTTTTTTTACACCAACTTGTAACCTCCTCATCATGTTTTTTTTTCTGCACTTCAACCAGTGGGACACATTCTAAAAGACTCAAGCGCAAAAGACGTTACAGCAAAAGAAAAAAAAATGCTAGGGAGAATTCAAAGCAACAAGATTAAAAATGTGTATGTTAACCAGCCACCGCCTTCCACCACTGGGGTGCGCTGTTAAACAAACAGCAATCGTTGGGCTCGTGTTGAAAAAAATCGACCCAAAATTTCAACATATTTAACGTTAATGTACTGCACATACCTCTTCACTGGAGACGCGGTTGCCAAGGCAACGAACAGCAGAAGGAAGGGAGCCATGGTTGATTTCTAGATCTGAAAAGAGTGAATTTTTACTGTCAGCATATCTAAAAAAAATGAAGATATTAATTATCTTGTATCTCACAAATTTTACGTCCCTACGGTTCTATATTTACAAGAAGACCAAACGGAGTCATGGGTGGAAAGCAACAACAACAACAAACTACAGTAGATCGGAGAAGACGTAGACTCACCAGACTGTTCCTGTCTGGACACTACAAGATGTTGAGTCAAGTGAAGTCTGAGACAATATCGCTGTCAGGAACACTCGATCGTAATATACACGTATTGTGGGAACTTCAACAGCTTTTCATCAAGATATCTTCAGGTTTGTCAATACTAATGTCCGTTAGAACACTTCTATTGCAAAGCTATCAATTTTACCGTCACGCTAGTGCCAGCTTGTACCCAGTACAAGCCTGATTATGGCGTTATCATTGAGTGCTTGCTTGTACTCAGTCCAAGCTGGTTTATAAATGAATGAAAGACCTTTATTGTACGTTTGTTCTCTAACAAGCTAAGTACAGGTCATGAATAGATAAGGGAAAGGACACAGCAATGACACTTAAACTATACATACTAATGTGATCTACTATTTAAATTGTTCAACTTCTTCTCGCTTCTCCTCTTGACGCAGTTATAGATGTTCGAGCAAATAGAACTAATGATACATGATTTGTCAAGTTTCATAAGAAATATGAATTTTTCTGATTCATTTAAATGTCCAAAGCTGGGGAACTTATCTATCATAAGAATATAGGAAATCTCTTTGATTACTATATAACGTACAATCGACTACGAAATGATACTCATCCTCAATCTTATCTAAATCGCAAAATATGGCATTAGAGCCATATTGTACTTAGTCAGTGAATAATTTCATCAGGTTGGTGAATGATTGAATAATAGCGAAGTTTCGATGACCGTCTGTATCTGTATCTGATTGCGAATAAAGATATATATCGAGTGATTGCCATATCATATGTACTAGTATGTTATCCCATTTTATATGATGATGAAAATGAATGACGATGAGACAACGAGAAAAGAGGATTTGCGTTGACTGTAAGATTTTATTTCAGTCTTTATTTTTGCCTTGCCGCGTCTGGTGAAGTTGCAATTTGGCCCAGCTGTATAAAGGGAAAAGGACATTTCTGTTGCAAGTGGCTTCAAATATTCATCACAAATTGCAAAAGTTGGATTGCGGGGAAACTGGCAAGCTGGAAAAAAATTCAAACTAACTGTTATTAAGATAAACTAGTAGAACCAGGCCTAGTAGCTTGTGCAGACGGCCAAAAGAAACAGAACAAATTACAGGTTTTTAGCTATGTGCATAATCATTGTGGTTGCAAATAATTGACAGCTTTGTTTTTATGTTTACCGAAGGAAAACATATTGTTTTTACTCAGTTTCTTCCTCTTCCTCTTCTCTAAACAGTGACCTATGACCTGACCAATGATATGATTTGTTGACGTCTGTCACCATGGTGACTGGTGTTGGGTTACATAATGTTGCAATTTCATGGTCTGCTCTGCTCCTGCAGTGTCACCATATATATACTAGTAGTACATGTATGTGAATGTGTTTGAGTAAGAATTAACAGAGCAGACCATGTCCGAAAGTAAACATTATGCATTTGCTTTGCAAATGTTACATCTCTAGTTCAAATATACGTTCCACAAAGCAGGAATGTGCTTTGTTGTATGCACGCTATTCATGGTTATCTGAAGAAAGTATCAAAACAGATACCTTATCCAGTGATGGGATCAGTGATACCGGAGACCACGATGGTGTTCCACACAGGATAGAACCCGGCCCCCTCCCCATTCTCTAGGTAGCCACTATCTGTAAACAGTTAAAAAGATAAATGATGAATAACCGTTAATATTTTTCAGTTAATCAGTCCGGCGCTGATCGTACCTGAGCATGGTTCTGGATACACCTGGACTAATTCACACTAATCTGGATCCTGAACAAACAAACAAACAAACAACAGTAAAGTCGGGTCATGTGGCGTAGCGGCAGAGTGTTCGACTCGGAACCAAGAGGTCCCGGGTTCGAGTCCTGACATGCCACCGTGCACTTGGGAAAGACACCTTACACGACTTCCTTCACTTAATTCAAGTTAAAATGAGTATTGCCCTGTCCTGTATTTGTACTCTGTGTTGGTGGCGGCATGAAATAAGTTGATATAACTTGAGTGTTTGGTCATGAAGAAAACAACAACGGTAACTTACTGAAAGTTCATCTGTGTTGGTAGTTACATGTTTAAAGTTAAAACTTTTCTTCCAGCACAAAAAATTCTCTCACCCAGAGCTTTCGACCAGTCACCCTGGTCTTCCTCACTTCAAAGAAGCCATGTGACAACCTTCACTGGGTCAGTCTACTGAGGAAGACCAGAGTGACTGGTCGAAAGCTCTAGGTGAGAGAATTTTTTATGTTGAAACAAAAGTTTTAACTTTAAACAAACAGTAACCTACCGTCCACGTCTAGTCTCATGAAGATCTGCCGAAGACTCGTGTTGCGTGCCTCCTGGATGCTGAGGGTCCCGTCGTTGTTGGTGTCCAGCTCGAGAACGAACTGCCCGGTCTGCCCTCCGAGAAGAATCGTCAGCTCCAGGGGAGTGAGTTCGCCGTCGCCTGTGCGAGAAACAAGACGGTTAGGGGCGTCTTATCGGATGGGACGTTAAAATGGAGGTCCCGTGTTTGAGGAGAGACATACCTCAAGTACGTTAAAGAACCCACGTGAGCAGAAGTGGAACAAACCATTATGGTCTAAAAAAAGGGGTAGGGAGTTTTCCCGACCAGCCTCGTAACCCCTGCTTCTCCTATTGGGTCAGTTAGTCCTCACTACTTGTGAGAAATTGGGCTGGTCTCAATCATGATCTTTCTAACTCAGGGAGAAGAGTTGCTGTTACAGTTCTATACCTCTAGCTCTATGCCTAGAAGTGGCCAATGGCCTTGCATTGAGCGAAACCGTTAAAAAAAAGACTGACATTGAAAAAATACTTTGCCTCTCTATCATGAAAGTTCATCTGTGTTGGTAGTTACATGTTTAAAGTTAAAACTTTTGGTCCAGCACAAAAATTCTCTCACATAGAGCTTTTGACCAGTCACACTCATCTGGTCTTTCAGTGTCCAAAATGGACACTGAACAAGATTATTTCTTGAGAGGGGTGAAGGAAGCCATATACATCAGGGTTAATTACCCTTCATTGAACCGTGACGGGGGCCGACATCGTCTACCAGATACCTTTCACCCAGTGTTGACGTCACACGTTGTGGTCTGTCATGAGTTTGTTAAACATAACATTGCAGATACAGTGCGGTTCAGAAGATCACTCCTCCCCTCTGAATGTACAGTGAACGAGCGCCATGAAAGTAGGACTGTGTGCATACATTGTAGATATATGTCAGCAAAATCTGTCACCATGGCAACTACTTGCTGTAGCAAACACCCTGTGGTGCTGGGTTACATTATGTAGCAGAACAGAGATGGAGACCCTGCTCACCATACATATGAATGTATGAAAAAATAGAGGAGTAACATTTGCAAAGCAAATGCATGTTTACCTTCGGACATGGCCTGCTCTGTTAATTTTTACTCAAACACATTCACATACATGTACTACGTGTATATTATGACAGGAGTAGAGCAGCCCATGAAATTGCAATATTATGTAACCCAACACCAATCACCATGGTGACAGACGTCAACAAATCATGTCATTGGCCAGGCCAGAGGTTAGTGTTTGGAACAGAAGAAGAAATGTAGTAAAAACAATAAGTTTTCCTTCGGTAAACATAAATAGTGCATATATTTATTTTACCGTCTACGTCCAAAGCTCCAAGAACCTCTCTGTATCTCATGTGGCTTGTGATTTCCAGCTTGGAGAGTTTTCCGTCCCCGTTAGAATCCAGTGGATCGTCGGTCGCCACGTTGTTGTGAATGACGTTGTAGATATAGTGCAGCTGGTAAGCCTCGGTAGCGGTCAGAATTCCGTTACCTGCAGACAGAAAAGATCTCATGTGTAACAACTGCGTACTGTTCTTGTTTAAAGTTAAAACTTTTGATCTTCCTCAGTAGACTGAGGTGTCAACACTGGGTCAAAGGTATCTGATAGACGATGTCGGCCCCCGTCGCGGTTCAATGAAGGGTGATGGGCCCTGATGTATATGGCTTCCTTCACCCCTCTCAAGAAATAGTCCTGTTCAGTGTCCGTCTACCAGATACCTTTGACCCAGTGTTGACGTCACACTTCAAAGAAGCCACGTGACAAGCTTCACTGGGTCAGTCTACTAAGGAAGACCAGAGTGACTGGTCTAAAGCTATTAGTGAGAGAATTTTGTGTGTTGGACCAAAAGTTTTAAATTTAAACATGCGTACTTTTCTGTTTGTATCATAATGATAGATCGGGTATGTACTGCACAGTAGAGTCTGAAGACTAGCAACACTCTGACATTCTATGCTGACTGTTGAGATCACATTGCTGAGGTCACATTGTGTCCCAAACCGTGCCTTGTCCCAAACCGTGCCTGGTACTGCCAATCACTATGATTGACAGCACTTCCGGGCACGGTTCTGGACAGCCATGCTGTGTCCCGTTCTGTGCCCGCCCAGGCACGGTTTGGGACAGGCACGGTTTCGGACACAACATGGGCCTTACTGGGCCTTTTCCGTGAGGAAATAAATTGAATATATAAAACATATAAAAATAAAAATTTCATATCGTAACCATACACAAATAGTGCTTGTGATTATTTTCTAAACTTTTTTTTGTGTTTTCTTGTCTTTTCTGTCATACTTTTCGTTCCCGAAAGATGGGTCCCGATGGGTTCCTGAAATAATATAAGATAGACAAACCTACTAGAGTACACCAACACTCAAGTAGTGTGATAGACCATGTGTACTGCAGTGACATGCACAGAGTAAGTGATTACGGAGTGGTACACTGTACAATCTCTGACCACTATGCAGTATATTGTACTAGAAAGGCAAGGCGCCCCAAGTCAGCATCTAAGTATGTAACCTCCCGTAAATTCACACACTTCCAGGAAGACAGTTTCCTGACTGACTTGAGAGCCCTTACTTGGGACTCTGTCCTACAGGCTACTAGGGTCGAGGAGGCTTGGTCTCTTTTCAAGTCTCTGTTTATCACTGTTAGCGATGTACATGCACCATATATTTGTAAACGAACAAAAACTATCCAACCCAAATGGCTGACATCTGACATAAAAAGATTAATGCTAGTCAGGGATGACCTGAAGGCTAAGGCACGGAAATCAGGGGAAAGCAAAGACTGGGAGGACTATAAAGCCAAACGAAACTATGTAAACAAGAGAGTTAGACTGGCCAAGACCAAGTATTGCCAGCAGAAGCTGGAGGAAAATACAGATCCAAAGAAACTATGGAGCACAATCAAGGAAGTCTTACCAACTAAGACACAGGCAACTACTAACTCTCTGAAATGGGAGGGAAAACATATCACAGACCTCCCTAACATCACAAATTGCCTAAATCAGTTCTTTGTAACTATTGGCAACAAACTGGCAGTGAAGTTCAGAAAACAAGCTGACCCCAAGTGCCCTACTAGATATAAAAATCTGAAAGCTACCTTTCAGTTTAAGCAAATAACTGAAGTGGCAGTATATGATAAACTAAAAGCACTGCAACAAAATAAAGCAACTGGTCTGGACAAGATACATGCTAGGCTCCTAAAGATAGCAGCACCCAGTATATGTAAGCCACTAACACACATATTCAATTTGTCTCTCTCAACTGGTCACATTCCCGGAGACTGGAAGACAGCAAGGGTCACTCCAATACACAAAGGGGGGGGACACAGAAGACCCAAACAATTACAAACCCATATCTGTTCTACCTATCATCATGAAGACTTTTGAAAGAGAGGTACACACACAATTCCTCAAATACCTTCATGAACACAATATCCCCTCCACCCAGCAGTCAGGTTTTAGGCCAGGACACTCTACAGCAACAACCCTACTAGATGCTAAGGATCACGTGCTTCACAACATGGACAAGGGTAACCTCGAGGGGGTAGTATTCCTGGATCTAAAAAAGGCTTTCGACACAGTACACCACAGACTTTTTCTAATGAAACTGCCATGGATAGGAATACAGGGTAAGGAGCTTCACTGGTTCTCAAACTACCTGTCAGACAAACAACAAATTGTTTCTCTGAATGGTATTCAATCAGATTACTTACCTGTTACACTGGGAGTGCCGCAGGGTTCCATATTGGGCCCTCTACTTTTCAATATATTCATAAATGACTTGCCTGAAGCTGTCACCACATGTAAGGTATGCCTATATGCGGACGACACAGCAATATTTTGTGCCAATAAGAATGCTAAACACATCGAGTCGACACTGAACGCTGAACTCACTGGTCTGACCACCTGGTTCCAAACAAACTGCTTAACATTAAACATATCTAAGACTAAATGGATGCTTTTTGGTACGGCAAATAGGTTAAAACATACACCAACACTGGAACTCCAAATAGACCAGGAGATCATTGAACAGGTACTAACGTTTAAATACCTGGGTGTCAACCTCGACTGCCACTTAACGTTTAACGAACATGTGGATAAAATGTGCAGTAAAGTATCTCAGAGAATTGGACTACCTGGTAGACTTAGACCCTACCTCACTATCAATATTGCTGACAAGTTATATAAAACAATGATTCTGCCCATACTCGACTACTGCGACATAGTGTGGGGGAGCTGTGGGGCCACTAAACTACAACAACTACAGATACTACAGAACAGCGCAGCTCGAGTGGTGCTTCAACGCAGACTACGTGACTGCAGCACTGAGAGCCTCCACCAGACACTGAACTGGAAGTACCTGGTCGATAGAAGATTTGAACACACTTAAGCTTGTGTGATGGTATTTAAATGTTTAAATGGCCTGACTCCAACTTACCTATCTTCTACTTTCTGCCATAATTATCATCTTCATACTTATAACACAAGACAGACTACTAAGCTACATTTACCAAATTACACTAGCACAGCAGGTCAGAGAACATTTGCTTACACAGGTACAAGTTCTTTCAACAAACTGCCGACAGACATACATGTAAGACAGATCCCAACCCTGAAACGCTTCATGGCAGCTGTTAAACAGACCTCTGACCTCCACTGATTTAATGATTTGTATATTTCTGTTCAGTTGTTTATATGTTTATATATGTTAACTTTTCAGTTATACTGATTTTCAGTTATGCTGGTTTCTGTTAACTTTTGTTACTTGATTGTATAATTTACTTTTATACAATTTGCTTTATGTTATGTTATGTTATATTTGTTTGTGACCCTGGGCCCTCTTGGAAATCAGCAATCTTATGTTGTAGAGGCTACCCAGGTGTTTATAAGATGAAATAAATAAATAAATAAATAAATAAATAGAATACGTACCGTCGGCGTCAAACTGGTCGTAGAAGTCGCTCAGGGTCATAAAATTTTCTATTTCCGTGAATGTGAGGTGGTCGTCACCGTTGGTGTTGAGTTGGTGGAACAGATCTGCCGTTCCCCACAGCTCAATGATCTGAGCCTGGTAGATGAACCCGTCACCTACACACAGAGAGTAATAATTCTGTTTCTGAACTTCAAGAAAAGATACATGTGGGGTCGTGTGGCGTAGCGGTAGCGTGTTCGGCCCAGGCCCAAGAGGTTCCGGGTTCGAATCCTGCCCGGTGTCACCGATCATGTGGGAAAGGCACTTTACACGACTTTCCTCACTTCACTCAGGTGCAAATGAGTACCTAGCTTCGGTTAGGGACGTCCCTCGGATAGGACGTTAAATGGAGGCCCAATGTTTGGGAGAGCCACACCCCATGCATGTTAAAGAACCCACCACACTTATCGAAAAGAGTAGGGGACCTTCCCGGTGTAAGTGGTTCAAACCTTACAGTCTGGTCTCAGGTTTGACATCTTGAAGAGGTGATATTCATCTGTTATGTCAATCCTTCCACAAATGTGGTAAATCTCCATAAAATAAAATTAAAAAAAATTATTGAAAGCTCGGCTACGGAACGAAAAACTGCTAAGAGACCCATAATCAAACTTGTCCATACCCTTTTATCTACTTATTAAATATCTGGAAGATCCAGCTCACTAAAAATATAATTTTAAACAGCATAACACAAGCTACTACTGCTGCTGCATTTTTTTGTGTCATGCTTTTCACAAAGTTATTTTTGGACTAAACAATGTCCATCTATGCATCTTTGAAAGTTAGCAATAAGTCCATAATTTGCTTTTAGTAAAGGCTTAAGCTTCTCTACCAACATATGGACGAGTCTACAACAAACTCGTATTACAATCACTTACAAGTAAGCTGCAGTGGGGTCGTGTGGCGTAGCGGTAGAGTGCTCGACTCGGAACCGAGAGGTCCCGGGTCCGAGTCCTGACATGCCACCGATCTTGTGCCCATGGGAAAGGCACTTTACACGACTTTCCTCACTTACATGTAACTCAGGTGAAAATGAGTATTGTCCTGTTCCGTATTTGTCCTCTATCTGCGTTGGTGACGGCATAAAATAAGTTGATATAACTTGTGCCATCACCATGTCTAGTCATGAAATGTTAACGTTGGAATAAAAAAAGCTGCAGTGCTTACCATCTCTATCCAGGGCGACAAGAGCCTCGTGCAGAGTCATAGCGTTGAGAACTTCACTCTTGGAGAGCAGTCCGTCTGCGTTGGCATCTAAGGGGGTTATCTGCCTGCATGCCAAAAAAACATAAAACTTGCATCTGTATCGGTATAGCCAGTAAAACCGCCCTTCGGCGTAACACACCAGCTTCTGTATCGGTATAGCCGGTATAACCGCCCTTCGGCGTAACACACCAGCTTCTGTATCTGTATAGCCGGTATAACCGCCCTTCGGCGTAACACACCAACTTGTGACCTCCCCATCATGTTTTTTTCTGCACTTCAACCAGTAGGATACATTTTAAATGCCTCACGCACAAAAGACGTAAACAGCAACGCTACGCCACACGACCCCACGACCCCAAAAGTTTAACATATTCAACGTTAGTGTACTGCACATACCTCTTCACTGGAGACGCTGTTGCCAAGGCAACGAACAGTAGAAGGAAGGGAGTCATGGTTGATCTCTAGATCTGAAAAGAGGGAATTTTTGCTGTCAGCACATCTAAAAACATGAAGATAATATCTTGTATCTCACAAATTGTATCTACGTCCCTACGGTTCTATTACAAGAAGACCAAACTGTGTCATGGGTGGAAAGCAACAACAACAATGTAAGAAACAGGAGGAACGAGTAGAAACAGATTTAAAAAAAACCTGGTCCCGGGCCGGGGTTCGAACCCAAGACCTCCCGAGCACCAGCTTCAAACCCGACGCTCAAACCACTCGGCTAAAAGGTCTAGATCCATCGACCGGGTTAGTTGGTAGGGCCTATAAACCCTCCACTGTCACAACAACAAACTACAGTAGTTCGTAGCAGACGTAGACTCACCAGACTGTTCCTGTCTGGACACTACAAGACGTGTAGTCGAGTGAAGTCTGAGACAGTATCGGTGAGGAACACTAGATAATATACACGTCTTGTGGGAACTAAAACAGCTTTCGATCAAGATATCTACAGGTTTGTCAATGCAAATATCCGATAGTGGAACAATATTGTCACTTTAGTGTCAGCTAGTACCTAGTTGTGAGGACAGGATGTGAAGTTAGTGCCAGCCTGTACCAACTCAGTGAATAACTTCATGAGGTTGATGAATGATTGAATAACAAAGTTGCAAAACTTCGTCTTTGGTCGAAAATGACCGCATGTCATCCTCTTCAGGAAAAATATGACTGGTTCACATAATCTCCAAGCAGACCCTAGCTATAGGGTGGCATATGACAGTATCAAATTGGCCAGGTATTGGACCCTCTCTAGCCAATGGATAGTGCCTGGCCAGTTTGATACTGTCGTATGCCACCCTAGGGTGTCCTGGGAGATTATGGTTCACTGTGGAATGAAGCTTAGTGTGCACATATACACGATCGAGGTATGACGCTGGCACTAACGTCATACCTCGACAGTGTATAGTGCACACACGAGTTGTGACGATAGTGTCAGCTTGTACCTGGAAAGTTATGGACCTAGATTTTGTTTCGTGGCCTTTATTTTATTTTATTTTATTTTATTCACATTTATTTTTCGAGGATTGGGCAAAAAGTTATAAATTTTATCTCAGCCCTCTCCTCACACATAAAAAGAAACAAGAAAACAAAGTAAAGAAGAAATGACAAAGGTACATAATGAGCTGGTGTTTCTTGGCCTTTCTCAAACATGGCTGTAGCAGCCGTGTTTTCATTACAAATAAAAATGACGTTTTGCACCTGTTTGATTCACAAGATTCAATCTACCTTTCTCGCTTTCTACTGGAAAAACAAGGTAGGGGATGTTAGGATTTACCGTTATAGAAGTAAGATATATGCCTAACCCCATATTGTTGTCTTTTTTGCATATACCTGTTTGTTTGTTCGTTTGTTAGGTTTGGAAATATCTGTTTAATTCTTGTCTTACGTTTATCCATTGTTTTGATAAAGATAAGTTGATACGACTAAAAAAAACTCAGGAAATGAAAACGGAGAATATAGGTCATAGGACAGTTTATTTCCACTGTACTGACTGTAAGATTTTATTCCCAGTCTTCATTTTTACCCTGCTGCCGCTATTGGTGAATCTGCGGTAGGGGCACCACAGGGCCCAGCTGTAGGGAAAAGGACAAATAAACAAAGCTACAAATAAACACCTATGACTTATCATGAAAGTTAATCTGTGTTGGTAGTTAAAACTTTTGGTCTAACACAAAAAGTTCTTTCACCTGGAGCTTTCGACAAGACTATTTCCTGAGAGGGGTGAAGGAGGCTATTTACATCAGGGCCAATCACCCTTCACTTCATCGTCTACCAGATACCTTTGACACAGTGTTGACGTCACACGTCGCAGAAGCCATAAATTGTCATAACATGCCAGGGTTGTTGGTCCGCTAGGTCCAGAGAGTACAGTTAGCTGCACCCGGGTAGAGGCTATTACACTCATATATATATATATATATATATATATA